CATAACTCGATCACTGTTTAGGAAGAGACCATAACTAGACTATTATGTAGAAGAGAACTTTAAGAGCAAATGAGACTTTCTCTTACTAAAAGGAGAAATCACCCAAAATTTCAGTATAAACTGTTTCTTTACAAGAAACCAGTCTCTCAATCTTTAGGAGTCTACAAGATACACCATCACAATCATCTCAATGAGTCTACAAGAGACACTATCATAATGTTTCTCTCCATAAGAAACGCTCTTATCTCTAAGAGGAAACTTTGCATCCCTTCTATCTATAGAGAAAACCAACTTTTTCATATGGTGACCCAAATAGGGAACACAAATTCTTTGCTCTTTCATCCCATATATATAAGATTAGGAATCCACACTAAATAATAGACTTCCTATAAATGTTATATATATTTAAAAAACCAAGAGATATAACCAATGGCGTATTCGTTTTTCTGAAAGTACTCTTTCGGATTTTTAAAACATTCCGCACTTGTTTCACAGTTTCCATCTAAAATTTGGTGACCCAAATAGGGCACACAAAATCTCTGCTCTTTCATCCCACATATTTAAGATTAGGAATCCACACTAAATAAGAGACTTCCTATAAATGTTACATATATTTCAAAAATTAAGAGATATAACCAAGGGCGTATTTGTTTTTTTGAAAGTATTCTTTCAGATCACTGTTTCCATCTAAAGTTTGGAAACTAATCTTTCAACAAAAGCTCCCACTTCTTTGTTAAAAAGTGAAAGAATAAGTTCCTAAGGCGTAGGAACTTAATCTTTCAGAATGTTTTTGTTGATTACTATTCACTATTCACTATACATAATATAAATACATAATATTAGTATTATTAATATGATACAATATAATATAATATTACAATAACATAATATAATATAATTTTATATTTTATCATATTATATTTTATTTTATTATATAATATAAATATATAGTAATACTGTATATAACATATAATATACAATGATTAAATACTATATAATATAAATTACATTAATAATAATATATAATATAGAATAAAATATATATTATATCTAATATAAGACTATAAATATGACATATATATATATAATATTATATTATATATTATATAAAACACATATTTATATTATATATAATATTGATATAATTATATTATAAATAATGTATTTATCATATTAAATAATATATATTATATATAATATATAATTTACATTAATAATAATACATAATATAGAATATAATAGAATATATAATATTTATGTAAGGGTGCGGTTTGTATAGAGCGGAGGCTCTAACCAATCAAAAGTAGAGCTCACCTTCAAAGAGTGTCGAGAAATGTAATATCAATATTGGAAATCTTTGTGATAGACTTAAAATATATTTTTACATTTATTTCTAAAGTTTAAAGCTTCAAAAATAGTGTAGATCGACTATCTATGAAAACTTGAAAATCTTGAAAATTAACGGTAAAAAAATACATTACAAAATACACTATTTCCAAAACTTGAAATCCATTTTTTTTTTTCTAATGTCCATGCATATTGATGCTAAGATGATCAATTTGAAGATATTTGGGCATCAAAACAACCTCTTCTAGTGAAAGTTTTGAGGTAGGCTCAAATTTGATTATTTAAAGCCTCGGCTCTATATAAGCTTTTTCCTTTATGTAATATAATAATATAAAAATTACATAGAAATATTTATTTAATATAATAAATATATACTAATATTTATATATTAAATATAATCTAATAACATAAATATTATATATAATATAATAATATAAATATCACATATATTTTATATTATACTAAATATTATATATTACATTATATAATATTGATATTATTATGTTATATAATATAAATATCTTATATTATATTATATATTTGATATAATATATTTTTATTACTTTATATAATATTTATATTATTATATTATATATAAATATCTTATATCATATTATATATTATATGTAACACATATTTATATTATATATAATATTGATATTGTTATATTATAAAAATATATTTATTATATTAAATAAATAGTATATGTAATATAATAAATAATAATAATAAATAAATAATAAAATATAAAAAATAATATATATTATAGATAAAATATATAAATATCTTATATTATATTATGATAAATATTACATTATTTGTTATATATTACATATTATATATTATATAAATATGTTATATTATATTTTATATTATATAACACATTTATATTAGGGTGCGGTTTGTATAGAGCTTAGGCTCTAAACAAACAAATTAGAGCCTACCTTCAAATAGTGTCGAGAAATGCGGTTTCAATATTGGAAATCTTTGTGATAGCATTAAAATATATTTTTATATTTATTTATAAAGTTCAAAGCTTAAAAAATAGTGTAGATCGACATATCTATGAAAACTTAAAAATCTTGAAAATTGACGGTCCAAAAATTCATTACAAAATACACTATTTCCAAAACTTGAAATCCATTTTTTTTCTTATGTCCATGCTTCTTGATGTTGAGATGATCAATTTGAAGATATATGGGCATCAAAACAACCTCTTTTAGTGAAATTTTTGAGGTAGGCTCAAATTTGATTGTTTAGAGCCTCGACTCTATATAAACTTTTATCTTTACATTATGAGTAATGATACTATGACACCCTCCCACATCCATGTGAGTAGGATCCTAAAGGATTACCATTAAATTTTGACACCCTCCCACATCCATGTGAGTAGAATCCCAAAGGATCACCATTAAATTTTGACACAGATCTCTAGAAAAGTGATCACATGGGTGTGGGACTTGGGTGAATGGGTTTATTGATAATTTTTCTAGATATTTGTATCAAAATTTAATGGTGATCCTTTGGGGTCCTACTCACATAGGTGTGGGAGGGTCTCATAGTATCATTACTCTTATATGGAAAAATTACATAAAAATCTATTATACTTTGTGTTATTACGGATATACCAAATAGTTTATGTTATTACATGTATGTCAATTTTTAACCTTTTATAACGTAATTTTTTAAAAAGGACCACTTTACCCTTATTCGGATGTTCAACATCCGAAAGTAGGTCGAAAGTTAAATGTTAAATTTCCTATTTTCGAATGTTGAACATCAGAAATTAAGGGATTTTTGGATGTTCAACATCCGAAAATACCCCGATAGTTTAATATTAAGTATAACATTTTTGGATGTTGAACATCCGAATTTAAAATATTTTCGGATGTTCAAGATCTGAAAATACCTTGATAATTAAATAAACCTTCGTCTTCTTTGTTTTCGGATGTTGAACATCCGAAAATCTCTTAAATTCGGATGTTTAACATCCAAAAATGTTGTACTTAACATTAAACTATCGGGGTATTTTAGATGTTGAACATCCAAAAATTCCTTAATTTCGGATGTTCAGCATCGGAAAATAGGAAGTTTAACATTTAACTTTAGGCATATTTTCAGATGATGAACATCTGAAAATCCCACCAATTTGGATGTTTAACATCCGAAAAAGGGTAAATTGATCTTTTTTAAAAATTGCGTTATAAAAGATAAAAAACAGACATACATATAATAACGGAAACTACTTGGTATACCGATAATAACGCAAAGTGTAACAGATTTTTATGTAATTTTCTCCTCTTATATTGTATAAAATATTTATATTATTAAATGAGAAATAATATATTAATTATATTAAATAAATATTATATATAAAATAATAATATAAATATACGATATTTATATTATTATATTATATATAATACATATTTATAATATGTATAATATTGATATTATTATATTATAAATAATTATTTATGATATTAAATAAATTTTATATATAATCTAATAAATAGTAATATTTAAATAAATAATAATATATATTATATATATAATATATAAATATCTTATATTATATTATTATAAATATTATTTATATGTTATATACATTATATATTATGTAATATATTATATAAGTATATTATATAAATATATTATATTATGTATAACACATATTTATATTATTTATAATATTTATATTATTATATTATAAATAATATATTTATTATATTAAATAAATATTATATATAACATACAATATATATTTATTATATTGCAAAATATTTATATTATTATATTACTATATTGTATATATTATTTATAGTAGTGTATTATAAATAATATATTTATTATATTAAATAAGTATTATATTAAATATAATAAATAATAAATATAAATACTATATATTATTATATTATATTATATTATAATAAATACTATGTGATATGTTTTATATAATACAAATATACATTAAGAAAATTTATAAAATACATTATATTTTATTATACATTATCTTATATTATATTATATTATACTTTATATGTTACATATTTATAGTTATATGGTTAATATGTATGTTATTGAACACAGTACCAAAAACTTTTTTAACATTCTAGCAGGTTATCAAACACAATATCTATAATTTATTTAAACCTTCTGAACAAAACTTTCAATTTTTTGAAAGATTTTAAGAACATTCAACTTTTTGGAAAATATCTTTCATAAAAACAAACGCCCCCAAGAGTCCTATTCAATCTCAATCCCATATAATATGAGATTTTCTAATGTGAGTAATTTTGGATAGCACTAAACCCAACACAAATGGCTGAGGCTAATGCAAGAAAGTGACTTGGTTGGCTCGATTGTAAGTAGCTTGACTTTTTTTTTTCTTAAAACCAAAGGTAAATAGCTTGACGTGACAGGACCTGGGATTGGACCATGTGTGGAGGTGGTGTGGCCATACATCTGGATGGGAAGATGCATAGACTGCAACACTCATGAATTGGTGTTTGAATTGACCATGCGTTTTAGTTTTACTTGGGATTACTGTAATTTCTCATCAACTGGTACAGGTGGAAGCTGGGTTCATTTTTTAGAACACTGCTAACTTCTCTCTTAGAAATGGGAGACGCAAAGGGAAGAAAGAAGCATACAATAGATATGAGAGATTTCATCTTGTTTGGTTCCCCAATCTCTCGTACGAGTGCTCGTTTTCCTGTTATGAGCTCCGCCAGAACCACGCCAAAAGCGTAAACGTCACTCTTAGGAGTTGATTGCAGCTCACAAACAGATCTGCACATCCAAACAGAAAATTTAAACAAATGGAAAAACTGACCGCATACACGTAGGGGTAGGAATGGGTGGGGCGGGTCCAGGTGGACCTGACCGAAACCCAACCTAAATACTTATAAGTTGGGTCCGGACCCGACCTGGATTTGGGTCAGGTCGGGTGCTTGTTTATAAATAAAAACATTTAGCATATATTTTAAACTATATACTTAATATTTTCTTATACAACTATATACTGGGTCAGGAAGGGTTGGGTTGACCTCGACCAGAACCTGATCATATTTGGACCCAACTCAGGCCGGGTCAAGGTCAAATGGACTCCGACCAACCGAGCCTATCCAAAATCTGGATCCAAACTCAGATCTCGTAACATCAACCCGACGCAATTCCCACTCCTACATAAATGGGTCTAGCCCTATACAATGATGCATCAGAGTTAGCATAAAAGAAAAATACGATAATTGGTTCATGAGTCGGCGGAAATGATTGTAATGGAACTTTACAAAAATCACAAAGAACTGAAAGTAGTATGATCAGCATGCGTTTTTTGGATTAAATTTGACAATACCCAATGGAATTTCTTAAAGGGAAAATGATGATTCTATTCGTGACAAGTGATTGTCAATGCTTGAAGAAAAAAAGAAAAAGAAAAAAAGAAGATAAAGAAATATTTCAACTTCAGATCCAGAAAAATGGAAAAATGGAAATGGTAGAAAGAAAGAAAATGAATCATGAAAAATTACAACTTACTCAGGTGGTAGATAACCTGGTGTTCCAACTAATCGTGTCGTCATGAAGTTTTCAGCTCCAGTTCGTTCCAAAAGCTTGGCCAGCCCAAAATCGGAAACCTTCAAAATATTGAAAACATAGCCTTTTAGTACTCAAGTCAATTCTTTCCAGTTTTTTTTTATGGCTTTGATTTTTGAAGAAGATGGGCCAAGTTTCTAACATAAAACCAGTCAATATGGATTTAAACTATGACATAAGTCCAATTTTATGTTTTTAAACTCGGCTTGGGCCTCGGACTTTGCCCTGGCCGGAGCCAAGTAACACGGCGGAGTCGGACGTGACCGAATAGTGTACAAGACCCAAAAGGCCCTAAAAAAATTAATCTAAAGAATTTTTTAAAAATACTAGAGAATTGTAAAAGTGAAACAAAACCAAAGATAATATAAAAAAATAATAAAATAAAATATAGATTTAGATAAATTGATTTAATCTCTAAAAAAAAGGAAAATATAAAAAAGTCATGTCACAAGAAAAATTCACAAATCATTGTTAAAAAAAAAGAAGGGTTCCAACTTACATGTATACTTTTTATACATTGGGTAATTCAGTGGGGATGACGAGCCTTTATCCGTTTTTTAAATCATTAGTGGTTTTTGAATGCGTTAGGTGAGAATAGAAGCCTAGACCTTAGCTGAAGCACAAGTGGTACTACCATCACGACCAAAACCCCATTTTTAACTTTTTATACATTGATTCCTTATTTTTATATAAGTTTACTTTTTCTTTCTATTCTTCTCAAATGGCCCGAGTTGCACCCAGATACACAGCTCGGCAAGGGCCGGTCCATGTAGAGTCACGGCTCGGCAAGAGCCGGTCCAAGTAGACTCAGCCGAGTTTTCAATCACTGATCCTTCTAATAAAGTGGCATTGCTTTTTTTTTTTTTCCCTCTATCTCTAACGACTTACAAGAAGTACAAGAAATTTTTTTTAATGATTGACAAGTACAAGTTGATTTCAATTTAATGAAAAATAAAGAACAAGGAGAGATTACCTTAGCCCTGAGAGCCTCATCAAGTAAAATGTTGGTGGTCTTTATGTCGCGATGGACATAGCGTGTCTTAGTGTGATCATGAATATATTCAATTCCCCTTGCAGCATCAACTGCAATCTGTATTCTTACATCCCAAGGAAGGGCCTCATGACCTGATTCATTCAACCCCATACTTACTACATCACATCCACCTCTCTCCCTCTCTCTTGTTACTAATTACTATTGGAAACCTACCTCGACAAGTTTAGCTTGTATGTACTTAAAAAGCTTGCAACACTATAAAATATGATGATTAAAAAAGAAGAAAAAAATTATTATGAAGAAAACTAATAAGAATCTTATGAACAAGAAGCATCTTTCCAAGCTCGATATGAAACAAAAGTAAAGACAAGCAGTTACCAAAGATCTTCAACTTAGGTGTGTCAAATTTAATCAGTGTTAACCGGACATGGGTCTGAAAGCGGTTTATCTGGCTTAACCGGTAAACTGGCTGATTCAACCATTCTAACCGAACAAGATTCGGGCGGTAAAAAAAATATTGAAAAAATAAAAAAAATATAAAAAAAACTACTAAAATATGAAAAGCATATAAAGAATGATTAAAACAAAACACATTCAAATGAAGTTGAAAATTAATGAAAAAAATAAATTTTAACGAATTGATTTTTGAATTAAAGTGAGTATTAATGACAAAGATAATTTTTAATCTTTACCATAATGTAAAGAATATTAAAAAGTAGATTACAAACCAAATTTTTTATTTTTGGGAATTTATATACATTTTTTTGAATTTTTTTTAATATCGGTCAATCATCAAAACTGCCCAAAACCGAAACCGGCCACTAAACGGTTCCTATCTAACTGGACGACTAGCAGCTAGATTGCCCGATTTTTCTAACAAATATTTTAATCTACTTAAATATCTTTTTTCCCTCGAAAAATTCATGTCCTGAGTATTGGTAGAATTATTCACGACGCCTCTTACCACCAACAATGCTGCCAAGTTTTTATTTATTTCAAAAGAAACACCGGTACTATAAACTTTATCTCATAAATAGTTAGTAGGCAAATTATTTTCTCTTTTTTCTGCATTGCAAACTAAGAAGGAACCAACTGAAATGGAGAATGTTTGTGCAAAAAATGACTTTTTTGGTTTTTTAAGAGCTTGCTTAATTCAGCTAAACGTTACCGATAGCAATTGATGCACTGGGTTTCTTTATGGTTATGTTTCCTCTCTTCTTTTTATTTCTTATTTTTATTATTATTATTATTATTATTTATTTATTATTATTTATTTATTTTTTTGAGGCTTGACTTTTGTTTTAGAGAAAAGGAAGGGATTAGCAGTGCGTGAGAAAGGGTGGAGCCTTCCCAAATCTTCACGTGACGGAGAAGGGAAGATGATAGAAAGAGATTTGTGGGTTTTTTAATTTTATTTTTTCTTGCCCTTCTTGTATAGATGGTGAATTGGGTAAAAGTATTGGCACTGTAAAAAGATTTATGGGTTGATTTTATTGCAGATCTTAAGAGAATGTGTCATCTCACTTATTTTATTTTTTATCTTCTATTTATTATTTTTTTCTGCATCTGTTCTGATCTTGCAGATCCCAAAAGAGTATAATTTCTCAAGCCTCCTATTTTATCTTTGTTGTTTTTTTCTTTCCTGCATCAGTTTTCATCAGAGCAAAGAAGATCCAATTATCACAATGCTATTGAAACCTAATCAGGATGAACGTATGTCACAAATTTTAGAAGGTCTAATCAAAGTCATAGAAGATATTCGAAGCGAAATTTGTGAAATGAATCAACGGTTGTAATGGTTGAAGAAGAACTTTCTTTGAAAAGAAGGTGCTCATAACTATGGATCTTGTGGGACCGATATCCCACGACCAACTCATGTCCCGATCATAACAAGGAAGTTTTTAGACAAGATCGTCATCCTAGAGAGCGTCTACGAGGTTTAGGTATTAAAGTCGATTTTTTTGAATTTCAAGTTCGAGGTCGAGCTTTTTCCGATCACGAGAGAATGGTGGAGTGGGGTTTTTTGCTTTTTTTTTTTTTTAGATTTGAGAATTGGGAAAAGTTTATATAGGGTTGAGGCTCTAAACAATCAAATTAGTGCCTACCTCAAACATTTCACCAGAAGAGGTTGTTTTGATACCCAAATATCCTTAAATTGAACATCTTGACATCAAGATGCATGTACATGAGAAAAAACTTAGATTTCAAGTTATGGAAATAGTATATTTTGTAACGTATTTTTGGACCGTCAATTTCAAGTTTTCATAAATATGTCGATCTACATTATTTTGGAAGTTTTAAACTTTATAAATAAATATAAAAATATATTTTGAAGCTATCACAAAGATTTCCAATATTGAAACCACATTTTTTGGGATAAAGGTAGGCTCTAATTTGATTGTTTATGGCCCACATTTCTTGATACTATTTGAAGGTAGGCTCTATACAAACTGCATCCTTTAGATTTAGGGCTATGTATTTAACTTTTTCTTTGCCTTTTTTTTTTTATCAGCTTACCTTTCGTGTTTTAGGGGGAAGCTTCTCCATTATTTAGTTAGAACCGTGGGATGGTAAAACGAAGGGATTATGAGTGCGTAAGAAAGGGTGGAAGCTTCTTAAAATTGTGCGGCGTCAAGCGTAGAGAGAGAGAGGAGAGAGAGAGTTGTGATTTTTTTTTTAATTTTATTGTTTTTTAAATTTATATTTAAAAAAAATATGGCTGTTCGTAAATTAAATAAAGAATTTGGATCTTGAAAAAAAAATTTCAGAAGTAATCTTGAGAGTCTCTTATTTTATTTATTATTTATTTATTTTTTCTTAGACCCTAAGAACTATGGATTTATTGGACTTCAACACAAAATCATTGTAATATCTATAGTTCATTTCAAAATATTTAGACAACAAAGATTAGTGAATTACCTTTCAATTGTGGATCATGAAGATGGTCACTCAGTGATCCATTATGAATATACTCATAAACCAAGTAAAGATGATCATCGCCACATGCATAGCCAATCAACTCCACCTGCGAAGAATATTATGAAATAAAACACTTTACAATTTCAAGAGAGATCAAGTTCCAATTATGAAGGAAACTATATTGGTCATCCATTGGATTAATTGAACCTACTCTTTAACTTTAACCCATGACTTAATTGCAGTCGCATCATAATTGAAGCATTCCTCCTTCATTTTCAGATTTATATTTCAGGCTTCATCAAATTTTAGATACAGTCTCTGTGTAAGAATCAAATTGAAGAGTGCAATGCTGCTGGAATCCCCACCAATTAGAGCTCAATTTAAATGTTCGAGGTTTTCGAGTGGTAGTTCCTACATAGTTCTTCACAAGTACAGTGTGTAATCTTCCACAGTACTGGATGTTTTTCAACTTCAGTATGCAGCTTCAATTTTTGATTGGACAAATTAAGGATCAGTACTTAAGAATATGATCAGGAAAACCATTGTTTAAGTCGAAATCATTCGCAAAATGAAGGAATTTGATGTATAGTAGGGGCGAAGCAACCACAAATCTACTTGTTCAAGTAAAAGGGCAAGAAACCAACACAGAGTAGAGCTATAAAATCCGTACCACATTTAGGTGATGCACTTTGCACAACACTTTTAACTCTGCGAAAAATTCCTTGGACTTATTCGACTTCATCCTTTTAATTGCAACTTCCTGCGAGCAAGCATAGATATTCGATAGATTGAAAAACTTGAGGTGTCCAAAACAATGATCTCACCTGCTTTTCCAGTACGCCATAATATACATCCCCATAACCTCCCTCTCCAATCTTTTTTGTTTCAGCAAAAATTTCAGTTGCCTCTTCGATCTCCTCCAAGGTGAATAAGAAAGGCCTTTCCGACTCAAAACCAGATCCATCTGCTCCAAATTGCACACCAAATACTTAGCTCACACTGCCTAAATTGCTGCTAAAAGTTTTAGCATAAGAGTCAAAAAGGCAGACCAAAGTTCCAAATCCAACCTTCCATAATTTCTCGGCCGAGTGATTGATTTCGTAACGAAGAAATGGTCCTAGCACTTGGCCATTTGGTTACATTTTCTGGATCTTTTATAGGCGGCGGCTGCTGCCGACATAATCTGTTCCTCCTCTTGACAAAGAGCACTAAAATGAGTCCAACTAAAAGTAATGCTATAGATGCTGATATCCCCACAACTATTTCTGGAATTCTCTTCTTCTCTGTTGATAAAAACAAACCATAATAATACTCATTATTTTCACAAAATATAAATGTGAATTATCCTAAAAAATATCACAAAAGAAAATAAACAGAGGACGTTACAACTGGTTTTCATATTGGACCATGCTTACAATAAATCTAACCCACAACTCTGGGTGTTTTGGTTTTAAGCAACAGAAAAAGGTATCTTCGAACGATCTCTTTTACAAGTTATTGCCAAAATAATCTCTAGGTGTTCTATGCAATTCCAACAAATTACTTTGAATAAAACAAAAAGGGAAATGATATCATGTCACCGTGCCATTATAATATAATGGAACCACACTTCTAGAAACCATTTTTGTGGTATTTGTATGAGTTAAAATTTTGCACTAACACTCTTCATCTCAATAATCAATCTCAAAAAAATAAAATAAAAATAAATTTGCATCCTATAAATGGTCAAAATGAGTCACCTATTCTCATTTTGATGAATTTCAAGATCTAGGCCTTTATGAATTCAAATCAATTTTTTCTTTTTTAAAGTTGTTAATCTAATGATAATAGAGTTATACAAAAAATTTGGAAAGGAAAAAGGTCCTTCTACGGCTTAGATCTAAGTATCTCAATAAAATGGAGGCGTATGTTAACTGGTCTAAAAAACACTTTCTATGTTGTGTTTTCAATTTTGTTTTTTGTGATTATTCATTAGAATAGAAAGAGTGTATATTTAAAATTTTGGGCCAAACAAATCGCCCTAACATGGTTTTTCAAGATTGTTTCATTATATTACTATACAACTTACATGAAATCACTCCCAAAACAAAAAAAACATCTTTTAAAAAGATAAGCTTATACATAAACTCTCTATAAGTTTGTCTCAGATAACTTTGTGCTGGACACTGGCAAACAATAGATAGTTCATTATTTGAATTAATCTCATTGAAATAGTATATGGGAAATTGTTTCATGCAGGCTGGACTGTATTTCTATATACACAGTCTAGAAAGTGCAAAGCATTGATCTTAAAGATGGAAGCAAGTAGGTGTTCCATGTAAAAACATTGGAAACTAAGGGTCAAAATATTTTCTTACTAGAATGATTATTTCTAGTTTTTAAAATTTATTTATTTATTTATAGTCATGATCTCCATGTTAGATATTACATGACTTTAAAAATTAAGGCTTAAAATCCATTTCAAAAATAGATTTATTAAGATGCCTGCACTTCTACACATGTGGGCTTCGCCGCATAAAAACCGGGTCCATAGTATAGTATGAATGATAACGAATACATCCAAATAAATCTTTACAAAATAATGCCACAGCTGAAAAAGAGGAAGAAAGATGGCTTGTATATACTTTTTTTACCCATACCTAATACCCAAAAGTAAAAAGAATTTTGGACACCAAACGTTTTAAGTATTATTAGAAACAATAATCTTGATATACTTCGGGGAATTTTTTAAAGAGGAAGAAATATTTACAAATATAAATAACAAACTATATATGCCAAATAAAAAAGTGAAATACGTTGAAATAACTAAGTATATTATGACCCTCATTGTTATGTAAAGTCTATTAGTCACTTTCATACAATCCAATTAAGGTTGGGCGAAAATCTTTCAAAAATTAGAATTGGGCCAGCAAGAATATAATTCTAAGTCAGCCTATCTAACTCAAGTAATTCTTGAGCCAAGATGGGACTGACTATATTTAACTCAAAAAATTCCAAAAATTTATTACTCCCATGGCAATGAATATTTGTGATCATCACAAGGGTTACCTTTTTTAAACGAGCTTCTTTTTTGTTTGAGTGCGGTTTGTGTAGAGCCGAGGCTCTAAACAATCAAATTAAAACTAATCTTCAAATTATGTCGAGAAATGTGGTTTTTATATTGGAAATCTTTATGATAACGTTAAAATATATTTTCAGCTTTGATTATATAATTTAAAGTTAAAAAACAATATAGATCTAGCAGATCTATGAAATTTTGAAAATCTTGAAAATTGATGGTCCAAAATGCGTTAAAGATGCACTATTTCCGAAAATTGAAATCCATTTATTTTTCATGTTCATGCATCTTGACGTTGAGATGATCAATTTGAAGATATTTGGACATCAAAAAACCTCTTCTAATGAAATTTTTGAGGCGGGCTCTAATTTAATTTTTTAGAGCCTCGGCTCTATATAAACTTTTTCCTTTTTGTTTTAGGCAAAAGATTTCCTTATTCCTACATGAGGATACAGGCAAAACTTACACTACAAATATCTTTTAGATCCCACATTTTGGGGACATGATCTCTAGAAAGGGACAAACATGCACAAAAAAAAAACAAATTAACTCCTACTCTCTATGTGCCCAAACAAAATGGCATTCAATAAGATTAAATTGGAACCATCGAATTTTTCCAAAGAATGAACAACATGTTCAAGAACTCAAAATCCATTTTTTTTCCCTTTGAAAATAATCATCTAGGTAAAATTTAGATAAATCTCAAAATTTCCAAAAAAAGAAAGCGTCCCATACAAGTGTTTTTGCCTAGGAAAGTAAATGTATACTATGCTCCCAAGGGAGCATAGAATGTGCGCTGTTTTACTTTTTCCAGCTTTCCAAAATAAAAGATCCGCTATTGTTTAAGGCACTGTTTTAAAAAACGGCGAGTCGAATCGGGCTCGCCCGGTTCGACTCGGAAACACGCGTGCTCGTACCGGTTCCAACGGAAAACTGGGAACCGCCCGGTTCTAGAGTGGAACCGCCGGTTTCCATCTGGTTCAACCCGGTTCTAGAGTGGAACCGCCGGTTCCTATCCGGTTCAGTCCGATTCTAAAGTGGAACCGCCTGTTCTCATCCGGTTCAGCCCGGTTCTAGAGTGCAACTGTCGGTTCCCATCCGGTTCAGCCCGGTTCACACATGTAACACATGACACGCAAGTACGAGCGTGCCCCACACATACTCACACGCGCACACGTGTGTCCGAGCGTACGTGCGAGCATGCCCCACACACACTCACACGCGCACACGTGTGTCCGAGCGCACGTGCGAGCGTGCCCCATACACACTCACACGTGCACACGTGTATCCGAGCGCACGTGCGAGCGTGCCCATGCACACTCACACGCGCGCACGTGTGTCCTTGGGCATGTGTTGCATTTTTGTTGTGTATATAGTGGTTGGTATAAATATTTTTGTTGTTTTCGAATCCCCTTAGGCATGTGTTGTATTTTTGTTGTATATATAGTGGTTGGTATAAATATAAAAATTTTTGTTGTGTATATAGTGGTTGGTATAAATATAAATATTTTTGTAAATAATATAAAAAACATAAAAAAATGAAAAATAAAAAAATTAATTTTTTATATAACCGTTAATTTTTGTTGTATATAGTGGTATAATTATTTTTGTAAATAATATGAAAGGTATAAAAAAAATAAAAATGAAAAGTTTATTCTATTTGAAATCTCCATCTTTCTACTAACAATCTCTTTTACTAAATTTATTATAGAAACCTAAAAAAATAAATTTTTGAAAAATTGAAATGTTATTTCCAAAATTTGTACGCATTTTATTAATTTTTACATTGGTAACCAAATATTTTATTTTATTTATGAATTTTTACATTATAAATCATGTAATGTACTATTTTTCTTACAGTTGTCAATAATACATTTTAAATTAGATAATATTATAAAATATTTTTAATTTGTTATTATTTGTCTAATAAAATAATTATAAAATGTAAACTAATAATTATAATTTCAGTATATAATATTATAATTAGTGAGGTTGTAATAATTTTGGATTATAGTTAGTTAGGCTGTAATAGTTTGGGTTTTTTTAGCGGGTTAGGGTTTTTCGCCAAG